TTATTATCATTATGGTATTATTATTTTTATTTTATTTTATTATTATTATTATTATTATTATATTATTATTATCATCATATATGATAATTATATCATTAATTATTCATATTATCATATTATTTTTGTTAACATTTCACTATCATTCATATTATTATTTTTTTATATTATTATTCATGTTTTCATTATTATCATATTATATATTATTTTATTATATTATTTATTATTATTATTATTAATTAATATTATTATTATTGTTGTTTGTTGTTGTTGTGTTCATGTTCTTTTATTATTATTATTATTATTATTATTATTATTATTATTTTTATTATTTTTATTATTACTTTTATCTTTATTATTGGCATTATTATCATCATAGTTTATTATTATTCATTATTCATTACTTATTATTATTATTATTCTATTATTATATTATTATATTATTATTATTACTCCTTTTATATTGTTATAATTATCATTATTGTGATTATAATAATTTTTTTTATTACTGTTATTATTGTTATCATCTTCATCATCATCACCATCATCATTATCATTATTATTATTATTGATGGTAACAGTAATACTGATAATAATGATGATAATAATAATGACAGCGATGATGATGGTGGTGGTAGTGATGATAATGACAATAATAGTAAAGATAATTATATTATTATTATTAATTATTATTATTATTAACATTATATTATTATTATATTATTGTTTTTGTGTATCATTATGATCGAACGTTTTTGTTATAATTATTGTTCTTCTTATTGTTGTTGTTGTTATCATCATCATCATCATCATCATCATCATCATTATCTTTTGTTATTTTATTATCAACTTTCAGTATTATCAACTTTATTATCATTGTGATCATTCTTATTCTTATGATCTTGATCATTATCATTAATATTATTATATTTATCATCACATCATCATCATTATCATTATTATTTTTTCATTATATTAATTTATTATTTATTATTATTATTATTATATTATTATTGTTATTATTATTATTATTATTATTATTATTATTATATTTATTATTATATTTTATTATTATTTTATCATTATTATATTATATTATCATTATCATTATCATTATCATTACATTCATTCATTATTATTATTATTATTATTATTATTATTATTATTATTATCATCATCATTATTATTATTATTATTATTACCATTACTACTATTTTAGCAATTATCATTTGGATACTAAGGATAATGTACAGAGATTTATAATGTGGTCCCAAATGAGACCTCGATTTTGTAATATATAAAAAACACGAGAAGCGAGGCTAGAGTGATTGACCTCAACAAAAATGGCTGTGATAAAAAACTGCAGTTCTTTCTAATTATTAGAAGCACCAACAGAGTACCTATCACTTTTTTCTCACTTTCTTTCTTGCTTTTTCTTTTCTTATTTTTTCTTACGCTGTCCCCTCTTTTTCTCTCTGTTTCCTCTCTGTCTGTCTGTCCGTCTCTCTTTCCTCTCTGTCGGTCTCTCTTTTTCCTCTCTGTCTGTCTCTCTTTTTCCTCTCTGTCTGTCTCTGTCTCTATCTCTCTGTCTGTCTGTCTCTCTCTGTCTCTGTCTGTCTGTCTCTCTCTGTCTCTGTCTGTCTCTGTCTGTCTGTCTGTCTCTCTCTCTCTCTCTCTCTCTCTCCTCTCTCTCTCTCTCTCTCTCTCTCTCTCTCTCTCTCTCTCTCTCTCTCTCTCTCTCTCTCTCTCTTTCTCTTTCTCTCTCTGTAGTCTGTCTGTCTCAGGCTGTGAAGATCAACCGAGAATGAGGGTATAATTGGAGTTATTAGAGTTTTGCCTGGAATATGTATACAAGTATTAATAAACAAAAGTAGGTGTAGAATTCATGTTTTATTTTTATTTGATTTTAAAATGCTACTTTCTCGCATGTGAGATTCGCTGATGACGAAGATATCTAAGGAGACATGATATACGTTTGGTCGAATAACAGATGTTTTGTATATATGTGTAATCTAGTGTACAATAATAGCTAAAACGTGTATTTCATCTATATGCTGTAATCTATAGTCCTTATAAGGTATGCAGAAATGTTTTAAATCGTTCGACTGAAGCGCTGAAGCCATCTTGCTCACAGAGTCATCGTACCCAGTTATGCAGCCGCCATTCCACCCAAAAATATCCATCTGTTCCACCACCCAGGGATCCATCCAACCGACAGATAGCCATCCATCTACTCATTTGTTCCCCCTTCCACCCTCTAAGTTGAAGATCGACCCCCAACTCCCTTTCTGGTCGATCAGGAGTTGAAGAAAAGGATTGTCTGACCGCGCGTCATGGTCGGCCATATTACTTTCCTTCCTCACCAGATGGCGCGATTTTTTAGGCCCGTAGATAATAAATACTCTTAATTTATCACTCGTTATCAATAAGAGATTGTTGTTTATATTTTTCCGTGGAGTTTGTCCCGTGGAAAAAAACAGTGGTATATATCTTTTATTGTATTAATAAATGGTGACTTTATATTTGATGTTTAAATGCCCCGAAATGATTTTTATTGTATACATACTACATTTTTCAAGAATATATCAAGTATAAATATGAAATATTTTTGATCTGATAATAAGAAAAGCAAAATGGGAAATGTACTATCATAGATAAATGAATAATTATGATAAATGATATATATAGTTTTGAATGACAGGATCGACGTTTTAATGACTAAGAAAGGCCACCACAAAGGATATTGAGTTTTTGTCAATAAAGGCTATGATGATATTAATCAGCAAGTTGGGTAATGAAAAAATAAATTACTCAAGTTGAAGTAAGTCAGTGTTTTAATTTCTTATGTGTTTGTAGGAAAGGTATGAATGAGAATGAATATCTACTCAATGCAAGAGATGTATTTGACCGGTTTCGATTATATCTTCGTCAGAAATACATGATATAATCGAAACCGGTCAAATACATCTCTTGTATTGTGAAGATATTCATTCCCATTCATACCTCTTCTACATTTGTTCATTCTTATGTATTTCTTAATCATAACTAAAAAAATACAATGGCTAATCTTTATTCTCAAATTCATGTCATATTTACTTTATGTGAAGTAAAAATGCTTGTATCTGAACCGGTACATAACTTGCTTTCATAAAACCTAAATTTATGAAATGTAAACTTAATGTGTATTTTTTCTTTTCTTTTAAATAGTTTTTACCTTTGCATAAGGTTAGTGAAAGAAGAAAGATGTCATTCAATTCGTTGTTATGTGAACCATACATAATGTCATCAGACATTTAATTCAAATAGTATTCACATTTTACCCAAACGAAACGCCCTGAACTATAACGAAAAATAAATAAAAGAAAGAAAAAGCTGCAGTGCGAATAAACAGCTGATGTCCTCTCCTTCCCCGGTTTTCCCGCCTGATTTACGGGCATCGCCTCTTGTCTCATTTCAGCGCAAAAGCCGAAGCAGTCCTCGATTGACGTGACATATGATCATTTAACAAAAAAAGGGGAAAAGGAAGGTAAAGATGAAATGTAAGATTGGATAATTATACTAAATCATCACATATATATAGAGATATATTATACAAATACATTATACAACACACACACACACACACACACACACAACACCACACACACCACACACACACACACCACACACACACACACACACACACACACACACACACACACACACACACACACACATAAATATAATACATGCACCCTCACACACACACACACACACACGACACACCACACACATAAATATAATACATGCACCCTCACACACACACACACACACGACACACACACACACATAAATATAATGCATGCACCCTCACACACACACACACACACGACACACACACACACATAAATATAATACATGCACCCTCACACACACACACACACACGACACACACACACACATAAATATAATGCATGCACCCTCACACACACACAACACACACGACACACACACACACATAAATATAATGCATGCACCCTCACACACACACACACACGACACACACACACACATAAATATATAATGCATGCACCCTCACACACACACACACACACACACACACACACACATAAATATAATGCATGCACCCTCACACACACACACACACACGACACACACACACACATAAATATAATGCATGCACCCTCACACACACACACACACGACACACACACACACATAAATATAATGCATGCACCCTCACACACACACACACACACACGACACACACACACACATAATATAATGCATGCACCCTCACACACACACACACACACGACACACACACACACATAAATATAATGCATGCACCCTCACACACACACACACACACACACACACACACACAAATATAATGCATGCACCCTCACACACACACACACACGACACACACACACACATAAATATAATGCATGCACCCTCACACACACACACACACACGACACACACACACACACATAAATATAATGCATGCACTCCTCACACACACACACACACGACACACACACACACATAAATATAATGCATGCACCCTCACACACACACACACACACGACACACACACACACACATAAATATAATGCATGCACCCTCACACACACACACACACACGACACACACACACACATAAATATAATGCATGCACCCTCACACACACACACACACACGACACACACACACACACATAAATATAATGCATGCACCCTCACACACACACACACACACACACACACACGACACACACACACATAAATATAATGCATGCACCCTCAACACACACACAGGCTTCAACCATTCCAGGGCCGAAAGATGTAAAAAGGTTGATAAACGACTGCACTGGGGAATCTTTGCGTCCAGGTTAGATTCGCTAATCGGGAAATATGGGCGTGAAGTTGCCGATTCCAGTTATCTCGTACATTTCTCTAGCAAATCTGTAAGTCGAACGGGAAAGATTTATTGATAGCAAAATGCCCTGGCAAATTTCCTCTTCAAAATGTACAGATTTCAAACCAGAGTCCCTGACTTTATAGCTGAAATACAATGAAGTTAAAGAAATTGCCTTAACTAAAAAAAAAAAAAAAAGAATAGATAAACAATAAATAAAAAAATAAAAAAGAGGCAAAAAAATAGATAAATAAATAAATCAGAGAGGGAAGTAAAGCGACGACACCAACCTGTATCGCCGTCGCGTCCACACGTCCGGGTAGACGACCTCGCCGCCCGCCAGATAGCCCGTCCAGAAGCCGTAGCTGCCCATGGTGACGATGCTGTGGTTGCACGACGACAGCAGCGCCATGTCCTCGAAAGCTGATTTACCTGGAAGTTCGAACAGTTTATATAAACACACACGCATACGCACAGGCACACACACACAAACACACACGCACGCACGCACACGCAATCATATATACACACTCATACACGCACATACGTATTTATACATCTTAAACGTATGAACGACCTCAGCGGCTAAAGCTCCTTCAGGGGCTTAGAAAACGGTTGAAAAGGCGCCAATTTTGAAAAATGTGTTCAGGAGGAGAAATCCTCCTCGAACGCGGAACACGCCACTAATGCTCTGACTATGGCTCGAAAATGCGACTGGAATCATGACTAAAGTAATACTATTTCATCTAAAGACGCAAAAAAGTGAAATTTAAATTCCATTTTTTTCAGATTTTTCTTCATATTCTCTGCCAGGGAGTATCAGCTAATTAAAGTGTTCCAGATTAGAAGAGGTGCCAGATAACCTCTCCCTGTTTGTCTTTCTCCCTCTCTGTCTGTCTCTCTCTCTCTCTCTCTGTCATTGTCTCTGTCTCTCTCTCTCTCTCTGTCTGTCTTTGTCTGTCTGTCTGTCTCCCCCTCTCTCTCTAACAATGCGTGTGTGTGTATGCATATTATACATGTGTCTATGGGTATATCTGTACTTTTCTATGAATGGCAGTACGCGTTTCCAAGCATGCATTTTACACCCGTCTTATACCGCGCCAATATTTCTTTCACTGGAATTACCTGTATACATGGGTAAAACCCCTTAATATTCCCAGCATAGCCATTCCATCCTTACCTGAGGAGAAATACACATCCGAGTGCATACGAGGCTCCTCCTGACGAAGGCCATGTCGTCCGAAGCCGCCACGAAGGCCACCTTATTGGAGAACTTCTTCCTGTAGTAGTTGAGGGCCCGCGTGAAGTACGTGGTCCCGGGCAGTTTGCTTCCGAAGGCCCACTGGAAAGCAGGAAGGCGAGCGATCTCTTTTTTGCGGGTATGAGCGGAATGTTTTTGTCAAAGGATTGAAAAAAATATATTTCGGTGATATAGATGGGATGATAGAAATAGAATGGCTGTGGATATAATCACTCTGATAACGAGATTGTGATGGCATTTGACAGTAATGGTAATAATGATGATTTTGTGAGTGAGAACGACGGGCATTTTCGATGGGAATCGACGTTTAACTAATGTGAACTGGAATTTTTTATTATTCTGACAACTGTTGTGCACATTGTTCACTGTGACAGATATAGAAAAAATATGAATGAAAATGAATAATTTTAGTATGAAAAAATTCTATACCGCCCTTCAACTAAATCTTCACCAGAATGGTAAGGATGCAATTCTCACGAAGTTTTCATCGAAACGCGGAAATCCCAACCGTTTCATCGTGCATCGCATCCATTCGCATTTCTCCCTTCTTCGGCAGCCTGGCTTTCGAAAGAGACAGCCCCTGCTTAGGAGAGTCAACGAACCAGACCATAACTTCCCGCAACCAAGACCTTTTTAAGAGACAGTCACACTCAACTTACACTGGCGTGGCTTGCGTAGTCAGTTCGACGGACGTGGAACCCGACCAGCACGGGAGGACAGTGCTGTTGTTGGGATTGCCACTTCTGTTGCACGTCTGCCAGGATCTCTCTCACCTGTTGTGTATAGACGTCGCTTTGTGTCCGTCATATCTCTTGCTTTTCAAATTTATATATGTATAATATATATATTATATATAATATATATATATATATTATATTATATATATATATGTATATATATATATTTATATATATATATATTATATATATATATATATGTACTGTTTATATACATATGTATATGTATGCATATGTTATGTATGCATATATTATATAATATATATATATATATATATATATATATAATATATATATATTATATTATTTATATATGTATGTATATGTATTTAAATGATTATACAGATTCAAATACTTAACATACCTAACAAGCCTGTATGAATGTTTAATATCAAACAGATTCTCTCTCTTTACAAATGTATATATATATATATATATATATATATATATATATATATATATATATATATATATATATATTCAGTTGACATTCAAAAATCCGGTCATCGAAATCCGGTTCTTTCAGATTTCCGGCACCGATTTCAAAGAGCATTTCAAATTCAGTATATAGGGCGCACTATTGTTTGCTGGAAGTCGCCGTTATGTTTTAATGGCACTGTACTCTTAGGATCAGCCTTGTGGCCTTGTTTGCATGTGCTAATAAGCATCCTGTGCTATAGTGAAACTTATGACATATGCTTTTTCATTTAATGTTTAATTTCCTCAGTGAAAAGACTGTTTGCATAGTGATTTTCTATCATATATGCAGCACATATAACCATAAAAACGGCATTTTCGAAAATCCGGCGTTCCTTAGCTCCGGAGGCTGCCGTTTTTTATGTGGAGCTGTATATATATATATATATATATATTTATATATATATATATATATATATATATATATATATACTATATATATATATATATATATATATTATATACATACATACATGCATACACACATATATGTGTGTGTATATATACCTATATATATATGTGTATCACACACCATACATGTGTATATGTATATATATATATATATAAATATATATATATATATATATATATATATATATATATATAGGTATATATATATATATATTATATATATATATATTATAATATATATATATATATATATTCGTATGTGTGTTGTATGTATGTATGTGTGTATATATATACATACATAATACACAAAACATATAGATAAGTATAAATATCCGTACATACATCTTGTGCCTACTTCCTATACTATGATGACATGATATTATCGTCCTGTGGTTAAGTGCATGAATAAGACTCGCCTTTCGTTGTATTTCTTGTGCGAATGTAAATTCTCGTCTCAGGTCTTCCTTGAAGAAATTGAACAATGAATTTCGAATAGACAATCTGAAAAGAAAAAAAAGATGCAACGGACGGAGCACCCAGACATACAGACATGCAGGACATTTTCGTTCATGAAAGAAGAATGTTCTTCTCTTGTTTAAATAAATATTTACTTCTGAGGACGAAGGTGTGGGGACCGAAAAGACCTGCGGCCAAATTCAATTTTCGTGAAATTGTAATTGCTTATTCCTCCAGTTCTTCCAGTTGCCTCCAGCCCGTCGTGTTGCAGCCGCCTGTTGGGAATGTGCGAATCAGTAGAAAGCAAAGATGAGACAGCACGACGTGGGAAAAGCCTGGAAAGGCCTATGTCCAACAACGGATTAAAAAAAAAATTAAAGAATAGAATAGAAAGCAAAGTTCAGGGTTGAAGTTTCGTTTTGGTAGAAATCTTGGGAGCAAAAACGAACCTTTGATATGCTTGGGAAAGAGGTAGAAAAATGATGAATAACATTCAATCTTAAAAAAAAAAATCTCATTTATTTGCAGTTATACCTTTCAATTTTCACTGCATGAATTTGCACGCAAATGAATTAATATTTTTGTCTGCACTTAACAGTTAATAGTATGTGTCGTAAATGTAACCATATTTATTATTTAGAAGAACGTGAAAGTTGAAATATCATATAATTCAGTAAATTTCAGAATTTGCCTCATCAGAGGCATCCCTTAAATATAAAAAGTTAATGAGCATCCTTTGTAATCTATCGCATACTTGAGGCTGATTTATTTACAAATGAAATGATACATTTTATTTTCATAGATTATTAAAAATGTAACTGACTAGATTACAGATGTTCAGATATGTTTAAACATATAAATATATATATATAACTATCCATCTATCTATCTACATACACACACACATGTGTCAAATAGTGCAAGGTCAGTGGAATACTGAGGATGAGGAAGGATGTTGTAGCCACAGGACCACACTTCCATCAGGACAATGTAAGAGTGTGAACAGGGGCGTTGTCTTGTAGAAGGCACGAGATAACATCTCTGGTCAACATTCTGCACCTCTTGGTTTTGATAACCTCCTGCAATTTTTCTATAGCAGTGAAGTGTAGTAAGCTCCTGTATTTGTTGGACCTTTTGCCAGGTAATCCATCATCACTATCCATGCTGAACCCAACATACTGTGAACATGTCTGCCATGCCTTTTTTGGGGGTGGCAATTCAATGTGCTTCCATTGTTTTGACTGGGTCTTAGTTTCAGGATCATAGTGATGGACCTAAGTTTCATTCTGCATCAATGCCAAAAAAGTCCTCGGTTTTCTTGACACATGGCTAAAGAGCCTTGGAACAATGCGTCCCTGCATCTGGGAAGGTTTGAGTAGCCTGGGAAACCATTGAGGAGATAATTTTTGCATATTAAGATGGTCTTGATTGATTTTGTCCACAGTCCCATCACTGATATTGACATCTTGGGCTAGCTGATGAACAGTAATACGGCAATCTTCCAATATCGTAGATAGTGTCTTCTTCACTGGGAGATTGGGGTTGCCTTGGGATAGTAGCTGTTTCCACAGATCTCCGATCACTCCTGATCTAGTGTTGTTAATGTCTAATGTCATATGATGGAGCATCCTCCCCATAAGCTGCTTTCTTTTCATTGAAGATCTCGTGCTGTATGGCTCTTCAACTACAAATACCTGATCGTTGCTTAATAATCATTATAATTATTTTCACACCTTGATGTACCTCATTCAAGTAGCCTGGGATCAGCTCCTGAACCATGGGAATTGACAGAGATCTCGCAACCAGCTTGATCACAGCCGGATACCACATATATATATATATATATATATATATATATATATATATAATATATAATATATATATATAAACACACACACACACACACACACACAACAACACACACACACACACACACATATATATATATTATATATATATATATATATATATATATATATATACGTACATCCATACCTATTCGAGCCCTGGCCAGGGCTCCGCCCGAAAATAAAAACAAAAACACAATCAATCCTCATCCAACTGAACCGAAAATAAGGGGGCGGCCACAGAGCTATATATTAACAACTTTCATACCGTAAACCGTCAACCCTCTGGGCCCTGGCCAGGGCCCTGC